GTTAGTTAGAAATGATGCAGGAAAATATTTTTGAATTCGATTTCGAAGAAGGAGAAATAGAGAAAAACAAAGAGAAAAACAAACGGCGAGTTGAACAAGAAACACAGTACGTGCCAAAACATGATTACGATGGGGTACAAATTGTTCAAGAGAAAGTTGAAGTTTTCCGTGTTGGACAAGTCTGTTGACCTTTCTGCTCAACGTTCTTTCAGTGGTTTCACAAGCCGGAAACGCCGACCATAGTTTTGCTCACCCAAAAGAATGGACCAAATCAGTTGAAACAATCGATCGAGAATCATTATTCTCGCAAGAATTTTCGGGAATCACTGAGGTTGTCGTTGGAGTTTATTGAATTTGTGGAAAACTGCAATACGAAAGTTTCTAGCGATGGAGAAAGGAAACAAGATCCATATTCAAATCCAAATAAATTGACCAGCACTCGGGACATGCTGGAAATTGCTGCCCGCAGTGCTCTTAGACTGGGAAATGTTGAGATAGCGGTGAAGTGTGTTGATAAACTGGTATGTAGATAAACCATCTTAAAAGTGAAAAATTCCTTATCATCAACTTGATTTTTCATGTTTCAGGTATCGAATGAACCTGGTCATATTTATTTTAGAGGCATGGTTTACGCAAAGGGTGGTCGATACGCAGGTAAAAGAACAAGTTTCTTTTCTTTTCATCCTTATCCAAAAGGCAATATTTTTAACAAGGGAATTCGATTGTATCAACTCTCATTTGATTATCACTTCCTCAGATTCAATTAGGCATCTTATTAAGTATAATCAAATGCGTAAGAACGATTACAAGACTTGGAAGGAAATTGGAAACACTTTTCTTTCATGTTATCATACACTTTTCGCGAAAAAGGATTCCGAACAATTTCCGATCTATAAACCGGACACCACTTTAAAGAATACTTTTATTACACAAATTTCCCTGTTGAGCTTTCACCGTGCTCTTAATATTATGACAATCTCCGAATGGTCGGATTCTGTTAGTTTTGTCTACTCTAGATTTACTCGTGAAAAAGCGAAAATAGAAAGGTTAATTAATGATTTAGAAGAAGAAGGCGTAGTTAAGGAAGAGGCGTATGTGTTTGGAGGAAGTGACGAACCCGATTCAAAAATTGATTTAGAAAAACTCGGATTTGAAGGTGAAATGATAAAATACATATTAATGGAGTGTAGGGCGAGTGTAAACAGTGAGAGGATGGCCGAAGAACAAGAAAAATCAGCAGGCCAATTGTAATCAATATCTTAGTGAATGTGATGTAGGGGTAAGGGAATGAACGTATGAACGTTCAATTAAATTACGATGAGGAAGGAATTTTTTCCCAAGGCTTTGGTCTTGGTTTCAGTGCGGAATTAGATGGTGTGCCTTTGTTAATTTCATCAGGAATTGTCTTGATTCCTATGTAATCGCAAGAAAAAGTCGGTGAACATCAAATGCTTAATTCTAATAAAACCTTTCCCACTCACCTGGTATTGGTTGGTTATTAGAAATCATTTCGGCCAACTGCATAAAGGATCTCGGATATTGTGGAGTTTCTACGGGTGATAAAAATTCCGTTAGGCGATGAAACGAAAGTCTCGCATATTCAATTTCTAGGCTTACCGCTTATATTATTATGTTGTTCGCTGTTATCGCTACTAGTAACTGTTATTGATTCTGAGTCTGATGTTGTCGGAACAAGTTTTGAACTCGATTTTTCTTCTGGTGTCGATAAAGATATTGACGAATTGCTCGATTGCCACGCAAGGTATTCGTCATAATCGAATTTTTGAAAGACCCTAAAGAATATTCAAAGCTCTTCGGGGTGGATAAATCGCGTGACGTTTAGGTTCGGGAATTGAATTTACCTTGAAAAATAAAACCATTTTGCTCTTTTTATGAGCCTTTCCACTTCTTCTTCCGACTTACTATTGTCGAGAATCGACGATAATCCCGACTACAGTTTCAAAAGAAAAAAACTGCTGTAGCCCCTTTTTTGATAGGTAGTGAGTGAGGACATAATTTTTCAATACCTGAAAATTCGCGTCATTGTTAAAGTCGTATTTTTCGAATTCTTCAAATATTTTATTAGTATTATTGTATGTCATGGTTAAAAAAATCAAATACTGTAGTTTAAAAAATGTTTAAAATAGGAAATAGGTATTTTAGAGTGTAGATCACACTATGTCTCCATTACCATTCACTTTTTATCGCGTTAAATTATACACCAATAATCATACATTCCGAAGACTTCTTTCTTCAAAGAGTCTATTATTCGTTAACGATACCTTGTTAACCCTTCGTCCAAAAGTTCTAAACAATGAAGCACCGTTATGTTTATCGTCAGATATTTCATTTTCCAAGTATTTTCACAAGCCCATAAATTCTTTTAATAAGCATACTCGTGCTCCTAATGCCCTGAATAAGCATACTCATGTCTCGGGCACTTTTAAAAGACGAAACTTTTCTAACACGAGTTATGCTAAGGAAAAAAAGCAATACGCGAGAAGCATCGTTCGACGCGAAAGGGAAGGGACCGGGTTATCTGTAGGACAAAAAGGTAACCATTAGTTGAAATTTTTCAGATAATGTTCCTTGATCTTATAACTTTGGCTTTTTCACGTACTAACACCATCCATTCTCGTCTTGCGAACAGTGGTGAGCACGGTTAAAGTAACAACTAATTTTAGTATAATCATAATAGGAATTGGTTTATTTGGTAACGTTTATTCTTTCAATTTACCATTTCGTAGTTGCATCAGAAAAATATCTAACATGTTTTTACTAAAATGTTAGGTGTTATCTTGTACATTATTTTAACGGAACTTTTTGGTTCTTCCGGTATAACTAAAACGTTTAATGAATCGTTGGAAAAGATCAGGTCTAATCCTGAGGTTTGGAAGGAATTCTCATTTTTTCTATACATGAGATCTTCCTTTCTTATTTCATATTTACTGATGTGAATCGAATTTTCTTCTTAGTGTCAAAAGATCTTGGGGACGCCGATGAAAGGCTACGGACATTCAAGACGACGTTATCGAACTGCTCGGTAAGTATCCACTTTACCTGTATCGTTTGATTATATTCTCATCGCGCTAATTCTTGTGTTAAAGTTTTCAAGATGTGATAAATTCTGACGGCACTCCACATAGAATAATGCAATTCTCTGTTGAAGGGTCCATATCGAATGGAAAAGCATTGCTTGATATGGTCAAGGTATTGTACACAAAACTCATTTTATATTCTAACTATATTCATTTTACGAGAATCATTGTATCGTAAAATTTATAGGATGACCGAGGAAACTGGTTTATAAATTATTTAATCGTTAATGTGCCAGGTATTTCAAGTTTTATCCATTTATCACATATCGATATATCTCGTCTAAATTGTTGTGTTTTCTATTAGGTTATGGCAAAACGATTTTCGTTGAATATCATGGAAATGGAAATGATGATGATGTTAGCAAAAAGCAGAAAGAATTGATTACTGTAAAATGAAAAAATAAAATAAAATAAACGGATAGCATATAGGCGAAACAAAGAGAATTATTAGATTGGTCTTTGTAATAAAAGACGTGAAAAAATTTTCCAATTAAGTTTTATTATTGCGGAACGTGTCTATAAAACATAATTCCCTAATCGCTGTAGCATTTACACTAATAAATAATAAAGGAAATTCAATCGAATAACCCAGTAAAGTATTCATCAAATTCTTCTGATCTGTTTGCTGTTGATGTAGCATTTGCTGTCTGGGGAATCTCTCCTTGTGAAGACCTTGCGCCTATAATTAAAAAAAAATTAAAATGAGATCATAATTTCTGCCAAAAAACTTTCAAGAGTCCTACTTGCTCACCGGTTTTGTTTCTCTTGGAACTGACAACATCATGATCATCGGTATCGTCACGTTGATCTCTTTCGCCCCAGTTCTCGTGCGATTTTCTTTTTCGGTTTTCATGTCTTTTCTCTTGATCTGTTGACAGCTCCTCCTGCCTTGCTTCTTGGTGACGATTTTTATAATTCAACTTGACTGAACATTTGGGGCAAAGGCGAATTTTTACTAACGCATTCTTCTTCTCTCCATCCTCTATATATGCAAAGTTGACTTCCCAAGACTTTAAGTCATGTTTCTCTGAACATTTGGTTGACGCACAGATCAATTGACCTATAGGCAACAAAATTCGTAAATTTTTTCAAGAGAATCACAAACTTAAAAAGTATTGATGACACCAATGAATGACCTTTTCCGGTTATCACCTCTTTTTCAATTCGCCATCGCAGCGCTATCTGGTTTTTTTTTTTTTTATTTTGGCACGAAACATTTTTTTTTTCCGTTTAGTGATTGCCACTCGTCTTGCTTAGAGCTCGTTCGAAAGAAATTTATACCTTTCCCTCTTTATAATACTTCAAATCAGCAATACAATATTCCTTGAATAGTTTGTCATAATACTTTTTCGCGACACGTTGCTCCCAAGTTAAGTCTTCCTCTTCCTCTTGAGGACGAAGAAATCTAATAAAAGAATGTAAATGGCCAAATTCGAATCTCTTCAGATTGGCACCGATCATCGTTAATAAGACGTAATTACTTATGATTTTCTTTCAAGATGTCGAATTCGCTCTTGGGTCTCTCGGTTAAGGTGGATGCGAATTTTCGTTCGTTATTTCGTCCATAGAAGAAGACATAGTCATTCATGAACTTTTTGTGGCGAGTGTACTGTAGAGAAGGTAAGCGTGAGATTTTGAGCCGGAGAGAGTGTGAAAGAAACGAAGAAACGCGGGAAAATAAATTCATACGGCATCCAAGCCTTTCAAATTATTGGAGAATATTCTTTTACTATATTCATTTGGTTGTTGAGAATCGGTCATCGTTTGTTAAAAGATGGAGTGTACTGACGCACGTACACGTATAAATCTGTACTTTTGATCGACCATCCACGCATGGATCTACATGCATGTAGTTTTAAGTGGCAGATGAGATGTGAGATATGCATTCACATGTAAATTATCTAAAAAAATGTTACTCTTCGAGTCGGAAAAAAAACAGACAAAGCAAAAACAGCAAAGTCGGCATTCAGAATTTCAAGCCATAGTGCTGGCGGGTTACGGTACTAGGTACAGGCCGAAATGTCAATTGTCGTTCTCTTTCTTCTAACTCAACCCAATTTTACCCTCCTGTTGCATAGTCTTTACCCATTGACCGAAGACAATAATGTCCCCAAGGCCCTACTCCCCGTCGCTAATAAGCCGATGCTATATTATGTTCTCGAATGGTTGGAAAGAGCCGGAATTTTTGGTATTGTGAAAAAGTAACGGTTGTTTGTTAACTCGATGGCTGAGCATTAACGATGATCCACATAAAAGATGTAATCATTGTGTCGGAATCGGGTGGCGAGCATAAAATCGGGCACTACCTTAAAAACGTTTATGAAGGAAAGTTGAGACCTCATCTGGAAGTGATCAAGGAAGACGTAGGGACTGCGGATGCACTGCGATTCATCAAGGAAAAAATAAAGGTATCTGGACAGCTATCCCTGGGAAGTTTGTGAAACGATGATAATTTTAACCCAAAGGTTCCTTGTGCTTTGCCGATAGTGCGATTTTATAGTTATGAGTTGTGATCTGATTCTCGACCTCGCACTACATCAATTCTTGGATTTTCATCGATTGCACGATCCTACACTCACAGCATTGTATTTTGAACCTCACAAATCTGAAGGTGGCGGCGCAAGTGGTGACAAGGATGAAAGTATGTTCTTTCATTTGATTTTATTCAACATATGTATTTTTTTGTGGGTAAATACATTGATATATACGTGAATATTTCATTAGGTCCAAAACAAATTGTGGGTGTCGACGTCACTCAATCACGACTCATATACGTCGCATCTGGTGCCGACTTGGATGAAGAGTTTTCTTTACGCATGTCGTTGCTGTGGAAGTTGGTATCTCTCTTTGATGAGATGCGACTTTTAATCAGTGGTGCTAACACCGAAACGGTTTATCGTTAACAGATTTCCGCGGGTTGATATTCACACAACCTTACAAGATTCTCATCTCTACATTTTTAAGAGGTGGGTGATTGATCTGATCGCACAAAGGAAGGCTATTTCTAGCGTGCGTGAACATCTTGTTCCATTACTGGTAAAATGTCAGTACCAAAGATTGTTGATGGAAAGAGAAGGCATTGACAAACGTACGTGCTTCCTGTGACAATTTGGGCAGACTATATTGGACCCTGGTGCAAATAGAATAAGGATGAATTTCTTTTTACCTTAAAATTAAAAAGTGTCCGCAGCTCATGAAAACTTTCAAAAGACGGCGATTACATTTTCTACCACCTGTGATAGCGATGTCGAGAGTTCACCCGTGAGATGCCAAATATTCATATATAAGACGGGATTTTGTGGTCGTGGTAACACTGTTCCGAAGTATTGTGACTTGAATCGTCATGTAAGTTGTGTCTCTTATTCCACGTCGAATTGACCGTGCTAGATATTAACTTGCTTTACCCACGATATTTCCAAACATAGTTAACAAAGATAAGTAATGACGCACGCGTTTCTGCGTCTGCGGAAGTTGGTCCAAAAACTCAGGTGTTTCTCTTCACAAGTTATTTGGATATCGTTTTCCGTGGCAATTTTTGATAATAAACTAATCATCTATTGAATTATCTGATTCATCCCTTCAATGCTTTCCCGCTTCGATTAAACGAAAAATAAAGGTGGGATCCGACTCTTTAGTTGGCGACGATACAAAAATTGAAAACGCATCCATCAAGAGATCTACCATCGGTGCTCATTGCGTTATTGGGAAGAATGTGAAGATTTCAAATTCAATACTCATGGACAATGTCACCGTCGAAGACAAGTATGTCTATAATCCTCTTTTCACATGATAATTATTATTTAATTGTATCAGGAAGGACAGAAATGAATACCTATGTTGCAATCAATAGTGTCAAAATAGATGGATGCGTTATTTGTTGCGGAGCAAAAATAATGGAAAGAGCACAACTTAAAGATTGTGAGGTTGGAGGCGGTTATGTCGTAGCATCAGAAAGTAGGTGTTGATAAAATTCCTGTTTTTTTTCTTATTCAAGATTAGGGTTTAATTAAATTTGTTTGTTTTTTTAGGCATTGCGAAAAATGAAAAACTCGTCGAATTCCGTAATCTATCTCCCATCGAGGATTAATGAGAAGTGATATATTGCAAAATTAGGGGATCGGAAAATATCAGAAAATTTCTTCACAATAAAATATTTAACATTCTTAATCGTAATTCTAAATATTATACATATTTTAATTTAATAAAATCCCGTGAATACGTAATACTGTATTTATATAATATTTATACTGTATATGAAACACCTTAAAGTATTACAAGAATGTTTAGAAATTCCATATAAATTCACATTACATTAGATTCTTGAAAATTGATATAATGTATTTAAAAATTGGAAAATAAATTTTTTAACAAAAAATACAGTTTAATATAAAATAATAACCTTTATATATCAACTTTTGATTAAAATATAAAAAAACCATTTTTCTAAAGAATCAAGTACATTAATAAATAAAAAATACAGTAATTGTCATACATGCAAAATATAAAATATAAAATGAAAAATGATTAGATATTACTTAACAAGCTATTATATGATAAAATGCTATAAACAAAAAATACAATTGTATAAAAACATTGATACATAAATTATGTTTTGTATTAAAATACCTGTCTTTGATATTTAATCTGTAAATATGATTTTAAAGATAAATAAAGTTTTTTTATTCTTGTTTTCTTTTAAATAAAGTTGTTTATTGTTTATTTTATAGTTTTGTTAATTTAATTATTTTTATTTTACTTTTTATTAGTAAAATATAGTACTTTTAAACTTGTTGCTCTTTTTTTATTTCTTTTGTAATTTGATTAAAATATTTATTTCAAAAGATTTTTACCTATTTTTATTGGTGAAATTTATTATTTTACTTTTCGTCTCGTTCAAATATCGTTTTTTATAATTTTTTACATTAATCTAAATTTAAACCATATTGTAAATTTCAAATATCTTTTTCACTTTATTTATTATTATATTCAAAGTACTTATATTGTACTGTATATGCTATATACAGTTAATACAAATATAAATTTTAAAATAAATTTGACTTATCAGTTATATTTGATTTTTTATTACTTGTGATATTTTATATACAGTATATTAATGAAGATTTGTATTTGTTGCTTGTTATTCTGTATATTTTAAATAAAAATTCTGATATAAAATTTTCTATATTTAATTGGATATAACGCGTTGGTTTGTATAAATATATAATATATTTTTTTAAATATTTATCATGTTTTCAGCGATTCAAAATTTATTTCAAGCTTTTATTAATTTATCATCCATATGTCCTTTGACTGAACAGAACATTTCAACCGTTTAAGAGCTTGGTTCTCTGAATGCCAGAATAACAAATATAGCGATATGAACACGCTTCTTACGAAGTTTGCTTTAAGAAAACCGCAAAATTGATGTCGGTTAAAGCGACGATTATACGTTACACGCGACGTCACAATAATGCCGAAAGATCTTATACAATTTGATCGAAAATCTTCCGTGGTGGGAGTCCCTCGTAGACGATTCTATATATTGCAGTGAATAATTTATATCTGAAAAGCGAAAAAAGAATTAAATTCATAAATTCATCCATTTTTAAAGAGAAGCATTTAAAAAAATAAATAAAATACTCACTCGTCTTCTAGCCCTTTATGGGACAATACTCTGTTAAGTTCCTTTGCTGTAAGAGGGCCCTGTAATTTTTGACCGTTGAGAAGTTCTTTTTCCAGTTGCTCAAATGACTTAACATGTGGATAAAAATGTCGGAGCGGTTAGCAAATTCAATAAAAAAATCGAAACAATATCCTAAAAGACTACCTTTCCAGTAACCACATGGGCTTCAGCAATCCTTCGATTCCTTCCACCATAACAGCTGGTAATAACATCGGCCAATCCGCAACTCTGAAAAAATGTCTCATCTTTAGCGCCTTTGTAAAACCGTTGTATAAAGGATTTCATCTCCAGTACTCCAATCCTGATAATCGCTGCCTTAGTATTGTCGCCCATCTTCAGGCCATCGATGATACCCGCACCAACGGCGATCACGTTTTTCAGTGCACCACACAACTCTACGCCCACCACATCATTCACGATGCCTATACGGAAGTAATGAGTTTCCAAGAGTTTTTTGAATAGTTCACCTTCCTCGCGGAATTTGTATCCGATGGTGGTTTCCGAAAATCTTTCTTCAGCAATCTCGTTGGCAATGTTAGCACCGCTCAGTGTGCAAACAGGTAATTGAAGGATATCCTCGATTACCTGGGACATTGGTTGGATGCCGGAATCAGTGGTGTTGAAGCCTTTGACCAATGATATGGCTTTGGCTTTTGGATGCGTGCGACCTTTTAGTTGGTTGCATATATCGTGCAAGAACTATAATTATAATTAGTTACAGGTTATTATACGAAGATAGTCGTCACGTATCGTACCAACCTGATGAGGCACAACGAAGATCAAACTAGTAGCATCCCTTGTGGCATCCAACAAATCTGGAACGGCCACCACATTCTCAGGAATCTTGAAACCAGGTAGATATTTTACATTTTCATGTTGTTGGTTGATAATCTCGGTGAGTTTACGACCTTTGATGAGTTCTTCAAACACCCACATCTTCACTTCTGGATGGAAATCGGCGTATCGTTTTACATTTCTCCCTACGATTCTCGCTACTACCGTACCCCTGGTATTGATGAGAGAAATAAGAGATCGTTTGTGTGGTGAATGTGCAAAACGATGTGGAAAGAGATGCTTTACCAGTTACCGGATCCGATGACAGCTACTCTCTCTTCAGAAACAATTTCTATCTCTTTCACCATTTTGAATTTGCTATCGACAATGAAGAAATCGTCCGTAAAGTTTTCTCTGCCGCTGGAGTGTTTGTACAAGAGATATGAAGAATAATGGATTCCACTATAGAGATAGTTTGGTCCGATCGATACGAATTTTAAGGTTTTTGTTGAAAACCAGTGCGTTTTTATGTGATCCTGTTGAAGTATAGCGATTATTTGATTCGAATTTTTTATGTCGTAAGTTGATTTAATGAAAGTGTGCAATTTTGCATAGTTCACTCTTTTTAAAATACCTAACCTTGTTGGGCAGGTATCAATTCTGATAATTCTAAAGTTGTTTGTAATTACACGATGATTGCAAATTATCATTGACTTTATGTAAAACATTTGTTCAGTTTCAGATTTACTGTATGTATCGCTATTGATTGTATCAATCAGACATTATTATAATCATAATGACGAATATCTACATTATCTTAAGATGAGTCATTGCAAAGATAGAGTTTAATTGATTTCATCTTTGACAAAAAAGGCTAATTATCTGTTAAAGATTTATTTGTTTAGCGTATGTATCTAGATTAGGATCATGTGACCTACGGCATTTTCCATTTTTCGTAACATACTATCTGTTACAATAGTCATATAAAAATTAAAAATTTAACATATGGGTATATTATTTTCGAAGGAAAACAGGAATTTTTTGGACCCTATAATTGGGATCTACATTATTAAAACAAAGAATTGAAAACAATATTTAATATTTTTGTCGTCTTCAATGTATATTGGGTAATTCTTTTTGAAGGCGGACAGGGATTTTTCTGACTTTATAATTGTACTCCTAGAATTTATATTGTATATGTATTGTTCAAAAAATAGCAACCAAAAAATCGTATACAACATTTTTACCTAAAATAGACTTGAAATATAATAGCAGAACTTGTTTTTTTTATACATTCACAAAGGAATCTCATGTTTGCACAACAAATCACAAGGAAACGCGTTGGGTCGGATAAATATATGCGCGTTAACGTTAACGAAAAACACGCAAAGTTTTATTTATATTAGGCTAATATTATTTTAATAATATCATGAAAAAATAAGAATTCTAAAAGAAAATTAAAAAAATTGTTATCTTTAATCAGAAAGTATGGAAAAAAAAATTTGTTAAAGTTGCCTCCTTCCGCCCGTCGACATCAAGACGAGTTTTTTCTTCTTCTGCTTTTTACCGATATAAACTTCCTCTTCCGGAATGTTCCAAGTGTTATCAATGCCATCATTTTCACCTATGACTTTGCTACCATGAGTCACATTAACGGGAGGTACCGCTGGTGTTCCCCACACAGTCTTCGGTCCACTGTATAAAGTGGATGTATTACTATTTTTGACGTTATCTTTGTTTAGCCCATTCTCATTAACACCAGGTGGAACCCAATAATTGCTGCTACTGCTCGTTTCACCAGTGGAATTGGATTGAGAAAAAGGTTCAACATAATTCAACACTTGTCGGTTATTGTTTCCTCGTCTTTCCTTGTGAATGGTCGCCTCGTATAAACGCCTTTCTTTGTGCGCCTTTTCCTCTCGACGATTTTTACGCTGTCGAAGTTCTCCTTTGCGTGCATAGTAAAATACATATTAGTCATAACATTAATTAGACAGGTGAAAATCAAAGGAGTGAACGCATAGAAAATGATGGTATACTTGAAAACCCCTGCAATGTAAGATCAGAAACAACCCCTTTCAAATCGACTTCCAAAAATGTCACATCACAGCTTAGAGGTAAATGACTTAGGTACTTGCAGCGTTTTCGAAGTTCCTTTTAAAAAACATGCGCATAATACCTAAGCATAAGATCACGAACCCCAAAAAACATTATTATATATACCTCAGTAATCGTGGTCTCTTCGACTCCAACGATCCTGACGGTTATCTCATTTGGGAAACGTTCATATGTTCCAAATTCTTGCTTCAGAATACGAATATCCAGAGGATGTAAATAAAGGTGTTGTCCATCTTCAGATTGATAGAAATAATAATTTCCATCATTTGAAACAAGTGGCTGGACAGATTTTGTTTTCAATTTCTGTTCTGGTTTTGGATGCGGCAAAATATTAGCTATATGCGGTTGCTCTCTAAATTCGTCTGGTAAAAAGGGAGGAGGATCATTTCCGGATTCTGATGAGATCTCCATACCACCCACAATACCATTTCTCTCGACCACCTGAGGGTCTTTTTCCTCTAGACTTGACGGTCTTTTTTCAATCCTCTCAGAGATGGTAATTAATTCGCGAGCTCGTCTTTCAGCCTCGTTAAGGTCAATTATTGAAGACACCGGAAGTTTATCCAAGTGTTCCTAACAAGTAATAATAATAAGGTTTAAAAAAAAAGAGTCGAAACTCATAATTTTCCAAGGTGAGCACAAACTCACAATTTACCTTTATGTTTACAATTGCCATTTCAATGAAGGGAATTTCTTCGGTCGAGTCAAAGCTTCTGGCATCTTGGAGCGCCTCCCGAAGATCTTTCAGATCTTTGCTATATTCATCTCTCATGTAGCCTATTGATGTGAGCATTAATTTTGAAAATACCAAAGCATCTGGGGAGAAGTGCCATGGTGTTGAAGGAAGAGCCGAAGTTTCGTTGCGAGACGGCCAGGTAGAAGAACGTGGTAGCGCCAAAGTTGAACTCTAGAGAAACCGAATATGAACGTGTGTCTATTGAATAATCGAATAACAATTATATGAACGAGATGCATACCGCATTTCTTTGAATGAGACGCATTGTAATTATCTCATATTCATTTGTTGATCCTCCTTCTCCGACACTTTTTATGCTTCTTACAGCCCAGAATCTAACGCTTTTAAGATCTTTTGCGTACACCGAGTCCCAACAAATTGGACATCTGCGCCACTTTTTATTTGGCTTTTCATCATCGTCATTAGTCATCAGATAATGAAGAATGCAGGGAAGGCAAAAAGTGTGACCGCACTTTGTAACTCGAGCGGCAGTTGGTTGTTGCAAGCATATTGGACAACTAGGCGTAGAAAGAGTGGTAATTATCTAATAATAATAATAATAAATTGATCTCAGAATTCGAATGGAATACATTGTAATTCAGGATGTGTAAATTGTACTTGACTTACCACTTGTTCAATATTTTCCCATTGAAGTAAAAGATCTAAATAAAAATCATCGTTATTTTACCAATTCAGAACATCGAAATTATGATAGATATTTTACTGTCTATACAAACCAGGATCAACTTGATAAATGGTGTAATCTCCCATAGAGCTAACAAGGAAACGAAAACTATGGTGCACGTATAATGATTCACATTTAGTATGTTTCGTTGTATACGACAATGAATTCCGCACAAGAAGTCAATTTTTACATACTTTGCATTTACGAAACGTTCCTTATTAAACGGTTGGTAATTGGATGCCCTTTGCTTACGGGGAACACTGGAAATAACATGTTGTTGTCTCGGTGGAAACGAAAAATTCAGAAGATGATTAAGAGAGATTTGACCTCTTCTCGCAGGTGCACCATAATTCTAAAAAATTATAGTGAATAATGATTTGGTGATAAAACAGCTGTGTTAATGACAAGTATTCATTAACGTACTGCAAGATCGGTGTCATTAAGTGACAATTCATTCAACTCAGGCACTGTAATCGCGACAGAGGAATGAGATTCTTCAAATTGATTATATTCGCTATCTCCAGACGAAGATTGACTACTACTTCTGCCGTTTTTTGTTGCATCGGGATCGGCTTGATCACGATGGTGAGGTAGTGGTCGGTGGGTTTTCTTATGATGAGGATTGTTGTTCCTCTTTCTATTGTTCACGCTCGTGCGGGCTATAATTCATTGAATTATTGAAAATGGACTAGTTAATTAACATAAATTCATATTAGTGCTTTGGAATCGCACTTTAGTATACCGTTTTGATCTTGAGCGTTACTATTTCTGATTCCAGAACGACGCACTTCAAGACGGCGCGAGGTCTGAATTGTTCCAGATGAAATTTGAACTCTTTGTGTAATCGAAGGGGTAGTAGTGGAGTTCGTTCTGGTTGACATATTTTGTGTACTTTGTAGAGAGGAGTTTAAGTTCATCGTGGAAAGGATAATAATATCTGTATATATGAACGCGCGGAATTTGCGATTTTCTTGGTGAAAATATTATTAAATAATTACTTAATTTTTATAAAACAAATTACTATTGTCTCTTTT